GCGTGCAGGACGAGGTGAACAATCTGTGCCTATTGATTTCTCCTCCTAGGCTGCTGCAGTGTGATTTCAATGCCACCTCAGAAGCCCATCCACTGCTTTGCCCAACAGCCCTCAGCACAATTAACTGTCAAACAGCACTGCATTTTCTAAAGTGACCAAAATGAAGTTATCACTTAAATTCAAGGTGCGGTCAACAACACTCCCTGGGATACCCAATAGGATCTTAATCAAAACCTGATATAACTATGTGCATGTCTATAAATATTTTGACCAAATTATTCATACCTAGGGTCTGAATAAACTTTAGAGAAAAAAAAACAGCTGGCAGCAATAACACCACTTTTAATGCAATTCTCATGTGAATGAATCTGCCAGTTTGGCTGTTGAGTTCACAGCCATAAACAGAAATGATTCCATAAAAATTACATGACCCACCTAACAAGGTGGAAAACAACAAAAACTCCACAGTAAATTATGCTTGTTTCCTTGTAACAGCACAATTCAACTGATAGAATGTTCTATAACTGAAACACATTGTTTCCACACCTTGACATATAGTGAAAAGTCCCATTTTAAATCGACACACTTGGAACACGGAAATCCAGTGTGTTAGGAACAACCCGTTAAGGGAACAAATCCGCACACATCAGATTCCTGCACTGGGAATGCATCCCTCAGAAACACGGATATTTGGCAGACATGGTTCTTTTGTGATTCTGCTTGCCTGGCTTTGACCCTAGATGACTGTGTGACAACAGAGAGCCAGCTGACACATGGAAACACTCCTGTATTGTGCTGAGCCCCGCATCTCTTCTTGCTACATCCTATGAACTTCTGGAGGCAGAGGCAGCCTGACACGGGAAAGTGTGGAAGCGGCATGTGCTCAGCCGTCTGGGTCAGGCGAAACCCCAGAGACAGAGAGATTCAGTGTTTCCATGTGGCCCCATCTTTGCCACCATTGCTGAGAGCTACACACCAAATGACACAGCCAAGAGCGTCAAGCAGGAGGGTCCCCAAGACACATGTGTAGAGTAGTTGAAGAATGTTTAAACTAGGGACTGGGAGGGCAGGGAGGTTAGTTACGAATTTATGTGGGGAGAGACGGAAAGCCCCAATAAATATTAAAAGTGGGCACTGTAAAAGGCCTACCATTTGTGGTCTGTATTTAAATGCTAGGAGTATTAGAAACAAAATGATTTAGAGGCTTTAATTTCATCGGACACTTACGACATTATAGGTGGTGTTGCAGTATACGTAAAAGACAACTTGCAGCCAAGGGAGCTCACTGATAAAAATAAAAGTACAGAAGCTGTATGGATAAAACTAGATGCTAAAAACTCAAATGGCCTAATTGTCAGTGTTTGTTATAGAGCTTCCATCGGCTCAGCAGCTCTGCCATCAACTGCCAAGACCCC